CCATGTGTGTGAAGTGAATAGGATGGATCAGGTCGGTGTGTTCGCCTGTTATCGGGTCCAGCCAGACACGAAAGGGGTCGTTAGAGCCGGGGGTACTAAGCTTGGACTACGACTACACTCTATAGTTGTTCACCTGTGGTCAACGTCACGAATTCACACATCCTCGTAATTCCCCTCGCAATTCGGTTCTTCCCGAATGCCGAGCCTGCACTTGTGATGCTTTTAAAGACTTGTCTATTATAGAGAGGTAGACGATTGGAAAATCCCACGTAAATGTGATGGGGTCGTGCAGCACAAGTACGCACATCCAGATCTGGGTAAAAAGGGTGGCGTAAACCAAGTACAAATGATTCCGACATACCACACCGCAATCAGCTTCCCGAGTGTTGCGGAAACCGAATGAATGAACGATTAGCCTCGTGCACGGAACAGATTGCTATAGTTCTGTATCATAGTGAAATTCATACTGTCACCTCCACCACCACCATCACCAGCCACTATCATCATCGCCATCATCATCATGATCATCATGGTGATTAGGGCAACAACAGTATGCCCACTATTGATGTATGATGAATTAGTTATAGTTTGGTGCACAATTTCGTATCGAGCATGGATTCGTGGATTCACATAGAGGCAAACTTGATGCGGCATTTTCCCCGATACGGATGCGGTGAAACGTAGTGCTCATGAAAGAAGTAGAGGTGTATACATATCTTTGGGAAAAAAGGAACATTCCATGTGTGTGTGTGTATGTGTGTTTATCACGTCTGAATGGAATGGTAAGGGGAAGTTTGCTAGCGGGAGCGCGAGGGGGGCATTCGTTGTTGTCTGCCTCGAAAGAAGCCTACACCAAAAGCGAATAAACAACTCCTAGAATCGGATGATATCATAGAATGTTTGGTCGATTACAGCCGAGTACTTGTATGCAAAGCAAATTTGAATTATTTAAATAATCATGGCCAATCTCCTGTTAAGAATTTGTGTACTTCAATCTTCTTTCCCCGGAAGAGGAGGGGATCATTTTTCCCGAATAGATCACTCAGAGAAATACAATTGCCAAAACCCAGTTCTATTCATTGTTGCATTCAATTAAATCAGAACTGTCGAGAAAACACCAAGCGCGCGAAAGAAATGAAGAAGAGGAATAAACGGAACGATTTGAATGGCAAACCGCAGACACGAACTGAGTAAATATTTGTTCACATTCCATACGACTAATTGCGCTACAAGTTCGTTCTCGACAATTCTTTGGAATTATTGTATCACTCGATAATGTCCTCAAGAAGTGTAATATGCAGGGCCAATCCAACCTCTGAATACAATCGAAACACTCTGGCAGAAGGTTGACTACGGGCAATGCAGTCCGAGTTCTTATAAAACTAGCGTCGTCCCACAAAAGGGCCGCACACAATCCCTGGCCGCTCATCGGCGCTCTCAATACATAGGTAGGACATACTCCTCACTGTAGATTCTCCGTGGAATGGGTTTCCAAGCCGCCTGCAAGACAGGGAAAATACAAAATGCAACCATGGAGCAAAAGGTCCAGTGAGACGTGCACGCGAGTCACACTCCATTCAAAATGACTGCGCCCGTGTCTTTTCTA